CGGAATCGAATTTTCGACCCTTGCCGCGAAATTAAGAATTTGTCTGATTTTTACGGGCAGGCACTCTTAAATAACTGCCGCATGCAGCGACAGTCCGAATTCTGAATTCGCCAGTGCTTTAACTTACCTCTTTTAACGCCCGATTTGAGAATGAACGATGGGTTACTCACCAAGTGAGCACTACAGTTTCTCTGGAAACAAGTCGCGTTCGACTTTCAGAATGCTAGCGAACTCCTATTAACGGCCACATCTGAAACGGCAACCTCTCCACAACGGCCAGGATTTTTCTGCCTCGCTATCCGCTGATCCACTGACTTAACTTTTTTGAAAAGTCCTACAGCGGTCGTCTCTGCACTACGACAGCGAATTCTGTTTCAGAGTGGCCGAGGCTCGGGCCAAGGTAGAGAGGTTCAACTGTTTCTTCGCCTGACCTTAGACTGTTATAAACACTACGATAATCATAAAGCTTAAAATCGCCAAACATATAATAACGCTGTTAGAGTTGATAGATAGATCACTTTCTGTACAGTTCCTCTATATTTGGCCAAAAAGAAAAATAAATAAATAAAAATAGTAAAAATAAAGAAAAGGATTTCTTAATTTTTTTGCCACAAACAACATCAAATTCCACTGCTCTTTGTGTCGCTACATTTTCGACGACTTCAAATGTACAGTATTTGGAATAATAACGCTCATACTCACTTATTAAAAAACAGGATTGAAAAATGTTGCTTGCTCTGAGGTTTGTTAGATATTTTTGTTTAAAAATCCCGGAGATCATGCTGAGTTACATGCGCCAATTTTTTAAAATCACAGCATTTTAATCAAATGCTTTATCTCTGAAACGAAGTTGGTGATCATGTTTTCTTGTGTTTTTGATCCTTGAAAAGAGAGATATGATAGAACATCTATAAAATAGAAGATTTTCTCATAAATCCTTGAGACGGTTTAGGTTACTTCGTACAGCGACAAATTGAAAGGGAAATCATCAGATAAGCACTAAGTACTGTACATGAGGCTGCTACTGCCTCGAAAGGAGTTCTTTCAGTCATTCTGTAGATTTTAGTAAGATGGAAGCACTTACTTCGATCTGGAACTAAAAGGAAAAAAAAGGGAACCGTGAGCAAACAAACAAACAACACCGATAAATGTATTTGCAAACATGTAAGGATCTCAGGAACCATAACAGCCGTAACACCAAAGAGGAAAAAAACAACGTTGAAAAAAGTTAACTACAGAACTTGTGCTTAACACGCATAACTAGTGATTGCGGAAACGAAGGAGTTAGTTTTTCCGCTCAAGCTATTAAAGAACATTTTCAAAAACTATCTAAAGAACACGAAACGAAATAACTTACCTTTTAAGAGAGGGGCCTTTCTTAGTTGGCTGAAACAATACTATGGAAAATAACAAAAAGAATGTAAGTGTAACCCTTTTGACAATGACTCTACTATTCTACAGAGATGAAACAAAATCAGGTGCCCACGAATTACCTTGTTGTCACAATTTAACCTGAACGTTTCATTTATATATAATACTGCTTAAAAGCGCCTCGGCGCCGAATGACCTTAGAAAATGATTTGGAAAGCACTTCAGCGTGATTCCTCAGAAATACAAGTTGTCGAACATTTTTTGAAACTTTCCCTGAATGTTCCCTACCAAGCACTGTGTCGAAAAATACAATAAAAAGGATGGGTCACCATGCTCCCTTTATTAAGAGATATTATGGGCCAATCTTACCCCATTTATACCTAACCAAGAACGTTATTTCATCAGTCCACGTTACATTTTGCGGTAGTTGGAAGCAAAGGTTATTAAAGCAATACTTGAAAAAAATTCTTGCTAGGCAAAAAGTCTCGGGCATTTGAAACAATGTTATATACTGTTTATGGGAAAAATCACACAATTCTAAACGACATTGACTCAAAATGTTCTTCGAATCGTTGTTTTCGAGGTCATAATTTGCATCTTCGAGTAACGGTTTTGTGCATTCTTTTAGCCATATCTTTTTTTCCCTCAGCTCCGAAAAATTTTTTCTTTATTTTATAACCTAAAGAGGGTATTTTTTTACACCAAAATTATAGGTCACCATGCTTGTTTAAATGAAAATGAGCATTTATTTCGCTGTCGAGCCTAGCTTGAAGGAAATCTCTGATGTTTTGTACGTGCACGCGCTCATGTGCACGCGCCGGTTAATGACGCTAAAATCGTGCGCAGTAGGGATGCGCAATACAATACTGAGGAATCACCTTAAGTATTAGCATTCTAAACTGAGCAACATGAAGTACTCTTTGTAGCATTACTTTTTGCTATCGATGAGCTGTAAAATGTTTGCGANCAATACTGAGGAATCACCTTAAGTATTAGCATTCTAAACTGAGCAACATGAAGTACTCTTTGTAGCATTACTTTTTGCTATCGATGAGCTGTAAAATGTTTGCGACGCTGCTACGTACTAGGTCTCCTTGAAAGAGATTGGAAAAGACGAGAAAATACCATTTAAGAAGTAGAAAACAGGTACTGTATTTCTATCGAGTTTTAGTAGAATTCTATTCGTATACTAATGCAAATGCAGTAGTCTGATTGACTGAGCCGGTGCACATTATCAGCCATAAGTGGGCAGGGGCTCTGTGTGGGCGACAAAATTGCAATGTTTTCTCGTTTCTCCGAAGTTTTGAAAGAACATTTAGAAACAAATGGATAATCAAATCCATGAAGAGACTAAACGAAAGACACTCACGGTTTCTTGAATAAAAAAAAAAAACTCCAATTTTTTGAGAGCGTGTACACAACTGCAAATGTCAAATTGAAAATTCGGTCCGCGCGAATTTTATAAACCGTGAAAAACCAGAAATATTTGGAATCGTTGTTTGGAGCAAATTTCTGAGCAGAATTCTACTGAAACAACGAGATTATTCGCTCTCGATTTCTGTGAGCCGATAGTTCACTCGAACATCGGCCTCATCAACTATCACTTCATAGAAATCTCGAGCTCGTAATCTAATTGTTATACGGAAACATGAGTTTGGGAGAACGAGAAATGCTGTGCGAACATAAGCTGACAGGTGCGTGTTTCCGCAGCTTTTTCGAGTTCCCTGGAACTTCCACGAGGGTTTCTATAACTCGACAGAAACATGGAAAACATGTTTTCTATTTCCTTTAGAAAACCCCATGACGAAAATGGAAAACAACTTGTTTACTTTTTACTTTGGTCATCGAAAAGTAAATTCTCTTTGCTCTCGCCATCATTACGTCAACATTTTGCGTTAGTTCTGTGTTTCTATCGAGTTATAGAAACACGGTTTTAAACCAATCAGCGCACGTATTTTCTTTGGGCTATTTTCTAAAACGTACCATTGAATACCTAATTGTGAGTAATTTGAGATACAGATTTATTTTGTTCACTCGCAATATCAGACACTCACCTTGTTTGACCAACATTCACTGTTACGTCATCGCCGATCAGCACAAACGGAGCCCAGTACCTCACGTCACTGAATTCATCAGATTCTCGCATACATTTCATGGCCTGGTTAAGAGACTTACTGGCACTTTGCCCTTCCCGTAGATGTTGGTAGAAATGCTTCATAATCTCCTGAGTGGCTTTGTCATCGATCGCCCACAGTGACACGAGAACGGAACGAGCACCAGCTCCTAAAAATGCACGTGCAATGCCAACCACGCCTTCTGCCTTTATCTCGCCTCGTCCACTGTGACAGCAACTAAGGACGACCAGTCGGGCCTGTAACTTTGAATCCAGCACATCTTTCATCGTCAGCAGAAAGTCTTTCTCCTTGGGTTTTTTGTCCACTGTCGTAGGATTAGGTGACAAAACAATTTCGCCTGTTTCGGGGCAGCCATGAGCTGCAATATGCACTACCGAAACCGAGGTAAATCTGCTCAATACTTCAGCTTTTGTTGCTCTTTTTCCAGTGAGAGGGTCAATGTCCAAAATCTTCCCTATCGCCTCTACTTCCTCTCTAGCAGACGGGAGCTGTTCGAGTCTCTTTCCTCTGATACGAACACTTTCCACACAGGGATCCCCAACAAGCAATGCGCCAGAATTACTGTGATACCAATCTGGACACTCTGCTATCAGTTTCAAACTGGTTAGTGAAGGAATCAGGCGAATACTAAAAATATCTGACAAATAATTAGAATTTTGATCCTGAAGTGCAGGAAATGGAACAAAAGATAGAGGACCATCTGGCACAATGGTAACTTCATCCCCCTGTATGAATTCTATAATTGGGAAAATGATCATGCCGTACAGTTCCTGTAAGGCATCCTTTCCGCACTGCATTGGTGCCGATTCTCTCATCTTCGATCTTTCGTCAGGAACATCTTCCTCTGTTGGCCCATCTAAGGATCGATCGTCGCACCTAACGCTTCTACCAGCACCAATTTGTTGATAAACGTCTTTGATCAACGACTCCAAATCCTTATTGATTTCTTTGCGCAAAAAAAGGGGTTTGTTTTCCTTCTGCAGTACCCAAAAATTGATCGTGTTCCTGCAAATAGCCAAGAACACCGTTTGTGATGAAATGTACTTTGAAATGTCAGAGGCTGTTTTCATTTGCTCACTTGAACCTGTTTGAGTTAGTTTTAAACCATACTTTGATTCCATGAGATCCATCAGGGCTTGTCCGCGTCCCCGTTCAGCGGTAACAAGAGCTTCATCTGTCTTATTTTGTTGCAACTGAACATCGCATAAGGCTGAGTACACATTTTTATAATGATCTCTAAGGCTTATCTTCCATTCGTCTTTCGAACCGATGAGATCTCTGATATTTTCGCGCACCCTTACACTAGACTGATAAAAACGCTCAGCTTCGGACAAGCCACCGAGAGAGTAAAAAGCGGAACCAATATTAACATATGCTCGTCCTTCTCCTGCTTTGTCTCCGGTTGCTTTCGCAACGCTAAGATGTAGCTTGTGGCACTCCAGGGCGCTTTCGAACTCGCCAAGATTGCTATAAATAAGGCCAAGATTAGCATAGGCCTTTCCTTGCCCAGCTTTGTCGCCCACTTCTTTGACAATACCAAGATGTAGCTTGTGGTACTTTAGGGCAGTTTCAAGATCGCCGAGATTGCGATAGGCAAGGCCAAGATTAGCGTAAGCCTTTCCTTGTCCAGCTTTGTCTCCACTATCTTCGGCAATACCAAGGAATAGCTTGTGGTTCTCTATGGCGTTTTCAAAATCTCCAAGAGCACGGTAAATAAGGCCCAGGTTACCATACGTACGCCCCTCTGCATCTCTGTCTCCGACGGCTATGGCAATTTTAAGGTGCAGCTTGTGATACCTGAGGGCTTCATTGAAATCACCGATATTTCGATAAGCAATACCAAGATTGCCATATGCACGTCCTTCTCCGTCTTTATCTCCGACCTCTTTGGCGATACTGAGATGCAGCTGGTGGTGCTCCAGAGCTTTTTGAAAATCACCGAGTCTATTGTAAACACTACCAAGGTTAGCATACGCTTTTCCTTCCCCAGCTCTGTTTCCAACCTCTTTAGCGATATCAAGATGTTGTTGGTGGCACTCAAGGGCTTTTTTGAAATCGCCAAGATTACGACAGGTAAGGCCAATGTTACCAAACGCACGTCCTTGTCCAAGTCTGTCTCCAACATCTTTCGCAATAGCAAGACTTATCTGGTGATACTCAAGAGCATTTGTGAAGTTGCCGAGGGAGTGATGAGTACGACCAAGGTTGGCATATGCACGCCCCTCTGCAGCTTTGTCTTTGACGTCTTTAGCAATACTGAGATCTCGTAGATGGTACTCGAGGGCTTTTTTAAATTCACCGAGAGAGTTATAAACAAGGCCAAGGTTGCCATTTGCACGTCCCTCCCCAGATTTGTCTCCAAAGTCTTTGGCAACACCAAGTTCCAGTTTGTGGTTCTCGAGGGCGTTTTCAAAATCACCGAGATTGCGATAAGCATTGCCAATGTTGGCATATGCACGTCCTTGACCAGCTCTGTCTTCTACTTCTTTGGCAATGCCAAGATGTAGCTGGTGGTACTTTAGGGCTGTTTTGAAATCAGAAAGAGAGTCATAAGCTAGGCCAAGATTGGCATACGCCACTCCTGTACCAGGTCTGTCTTCAGCGTCGTTGGCAATGCTAAGGTCTAGCATGTGGTACTCTAAGGCTTTCTTGAAGTTCCTTAAATTGGAATATTTAGTGCCAAGTCTGCGGTACACGTATACTTTTGCAGCTTCAACGGGTACATCTTTTCTCTGTTGCTGGGTACGGGTGATCTGTAAATGTAAAACCTGTTAAGCAAATCTCTTCTAGAAATACCAAACTACTAATTCTGTTGATGAATGACATTGTGAGGAAAGAAATAATGGTATACGTTAAGCTGGGTAAAAACGAGAGTAATAATAATGGAGTAACTTGTGTAACTGACTGATTCCAATGCTAGAGCAGCATCTCATATTCTTCATAACAGAAATAGCGAGTAAGCCAGCCTGTGACTCAGTCAGAATACTGGTGAGTAGGTTATGAAATTAACCACTAAGCAGCCACGAAAGGAGGAAT